TAGACCTCAACCAAAAGTGAGGTCAACAGGCATGTCCCAAAGATGGATTCTCAATGCCTATATTAAAGCTGATGGTGGATCTTGCTTCTCCACACATTATTTTTTCATATATGGATGATTCTTCAGATTATAACCAAATCAAAATGGCTCTGAAGGATGAGAAACACATGGAATTCAAAGCAGCTATCAGTGTATTTTTATAAAGTCATCTCATTTGGTCTAAGAGAATGTTGGTGCCACTTATCAGCAGGCCATGACCAAGATCTTTGATGAGTTGATACACAAGCAGGCTGAATGTATGTCGATGATCTAATCATCAAAAGTAAAGAGAAAGAAAATAACCTATATGACTTGAGAAATTTATTTGAACAATTGTGTCTCTACGATTTTAAGTTGAATCCCTTAAAATAAGTATTTGGTGTGGCTTCTAAGAAATTCATAGGATTTATTGTAAGGCATCGTGGAATTGAGAAAGATTCAGAAAAGATCAAAGTTATATTAGAAATGTCGCCCCTAAAATCTTAACTCGATTAAGATCACTTCAAGATAAGTTGACACATCTGGGACGTTTTATCACTAACCTTTTTGAAAGATGCCAACCATTCTCTACATTAATTAAGAAGAATGTCAAATTTCTTTGGGATGAAAAATGCCAACAAACATTTGAAAACATAAAACATTATTTAACACTTCTCATATTAGTGGCACCCATCCCAGAGCGACCACTAATATTGTACCGTACATCTATAGATGAATCTCTTGGTGCCCTATTAGCTCAAGTTAATGAGGAAGAAAAAGAGAATTCATTATTTTACTTGAGTCATCGACACCAGCCAAAAAGAATTATCCTCCAATTGAAAAACATTGTTTGGTCTTAATCTTTGCAATATAGAAATCAAGACATTACATGCACTTTCATAAAATAAATCTTATTTCCATGTTCAATCCTTTGCAACACTTGATGACTCACCTAACACTATCTGGAAGACTAGCAAGATGGTCGATGATTGTTTTGAAATTTAATGTAACTTATGCGCCCTTACGTGTCATTAAAGGTCAAGCACTAGCAGATTTCCTTGCAGCGCATCCATTACCTGCAGACTCCTCTCTCAATGTTGATCTTCTTGAAGAACAAATCTTAAACCTCGAAGAACAAGACAAGCCTTACTGGGAACTTTATTTTGATGAAGCTTATTCTATAAGAAAGATGTTACTTCAAAAGAGACCATCTCAGGAATTAGACTAATCTTTATAACACCCGATCAGGGAATGTTGAGATTCACAGATCACTTGTCAGAGCTATGCACCAACAATGAAGCAAAATATGAAACTTACATTTTGCAATTACAATGGAGGAAAAAAAGATAAAGATTTTTAAAAACTCACAATTACTGATTAATCAAATTGTTGGAAAATATTAGACATTAAACCTAAGTTTTACCAATATTATCAATACACCATGAAATTAATTGAACAGATATCAGATGATACTCTATACAGAATAACCCATGTTAGTAACATTGTTACAGATGCTTTAGCAAAGTTAGCTAAGGAAATGGTCTATCAAGAAGATGAATATATCTCAAATCAAAGTCCAAGATAGTTGGGTCGTCTCCTCAGTCAATATGGAATATTTGAGTAAATCACTTTTTTTAACTTTTTAAAGCGATATACTTCAATATTTACATATGTATTTCACCTTTTAAAAATTAAAAAAGTGAATTTTTAACGTGATATGAAAGATTTAAATGGTATTAATGAAAAAAATAGAGTTTAGGTGTCAGATTGTAAATGCATGAGAATTTTTAATGTGATATGAAAGATTTGAGTGGTATACATTAAAACACTAAAGCTTAAAAAGTGATTCTTTAATGAAAATAGTAAAGTTAAAAAAAGAGCTTTTTTTAATGTGATATGAATGATTTTGGTGATATAAATTAAAACAGTAGAGTTAAAAATGTGATTTTTAATGTGATGAAAGATTTGCTTGGTATAAATTAAAAAAAAGTAAAGTTTAGCTGTTAGATATGTAATTTTTTGTATAGATACTGTAAAAATTACAGATTTAAAAAAAAGAAAATTATATTGCAAATCTTTCATAACAATTTCACAGATTAAAAAAAAATTATAACAATTTGAAACATTTAAAATAAAGATTTTGTTTTTTTTTTTTTTTGCAAGTCGCCATTTTAGCAGCGACTTTGCGCAAAGTCAGCAATAAAGTCTCCACATCGCCATGTCATTGGCGACTTTGCCGATTTTCGACTTTTTTTTTGTCGATGCAAGAAAAAATATTTAAACCATTTTAAAAATTTCGCCTTTAAACACCTAAAACATTTAATGTATCAACAGAACAAAATTTAATTTACAAAAAACAAAATTTTCCCCAATCCAGAAACTGTCAGCTCTGCATTGCATAAAGAAAAACCAAAACAAAGGCCCAACTGTTGCACAGAATTTTTCAAGCTGTGAAAGTATCATTAGGGATCATTTGATTGCTTGTAACTAAAACCATATATATATTTAAAAACAATGAATTTAAGTCCACTCAGTTTACATGAAAACGAAATATTAGATATGTAAACAGCAACTGTGGAATGTAATGCACCTCAAAGTATCCAAACTGAGCCTTACAGATAGAACTAATATAACATTCCAGCTTAAAACTTCATAAATAAGAACTCCTTAGCTTCCCTTTCTCAGATTCTCAAAGCTGGAATGCTATTTCTAGTTCTACTTAATATAAAAATTGAAGCTTTCTGCTCTCTTTTCATGCAAGTCAGCTTTTCAATATCAAAAGCTTATCTGGAGTCAACAGAGGCCACCGACGGAGGAAGGAACCGCATCAGAAAACTCGAAAGCGACCAGATACAGATGACCCCGAGGATCTGGAGGACAGTTAGGAGAGTTCCAAGGGAGCTGTTAATGGCGAGAGTCTGCGGTGTTGTCTCAGTTCCTCTCACTGAGATGGAGAGTGCTGTCACCAATTGAGCTGCTCTATTCAACTGATGCAGTCTATATACCTGAAACAAGCATGCAGACAACAAGATTGAAGTAGCCCTAAAAAATTTTAGAGAAAATTACATAATTCTTATGGAAATACATATCTCACACCTAAACTTTCATTTTTACACATATAGCACTTTACCTGTGGATGAAAAAATGGATTTGGCTATTAAAAGGTGATAATGAGTGCTATTTTTCATATGATGTTTGTAATCACGAAAGTTTAGGTGTGAGATAGGTAAATATGAAAGTTTTGAGTGCTATGTATGTAAAAGCCCCAAAATTTTATTGAAGGAGATTTAAATTCATACCACTTAATTTTTATGTATTTACATATCTATCACTTAAACTTTCAATTTTTATATAAATGCCACCTTAGTCATGCATGGAAAGATTTTTTAATGTTAAAATAGTAGTTTTTTTTGCGTGATATGAAAGATTTGGGTAGTATAAATGTAAGAAGTAGAGTTTAGGTGTTAGATGTGTAAATACATAGGATTTGGGTGGTAATGTATGTAAATGTCCCTTTATTGAATTGGGCTCAAAGAGAGATGAACAAGGTGGTTGATGAACAAAGCACAACTTGTAGCAAGCCTGGGCTGAGCTTCGAACAAAATAAAATAAATCAAGTTGAGCAAGCTCGATAAAAGATCGAAAATGTATGGTTGAAAGCACATATTCATGTAATTGTATATATCTTCATACTAACAAATGCGCATTTATGAATCAGCATATGCCTATGTCAATGTGTATAATGGATGCATCTATGCATGCTCGATAATGAATTGTTTAAAAGATAGAAAATAGATTAAAATATTCAAACTATTAGTATTATTATTTGGCATGATTGAGATTGGACGAAATGGTTTTAAACCAATCTACATTTGCGGTCCGTTCAACTCAAGTTTGGATCATTGGTCTCCATTTAACCAGCTATAAGGCAAACATAACATAAAAGAATACTGAAACAATTTGCAACGGTAGTATTTTTCCAAATATGATATAATAACTTCAGAAACTTTCGACATGTTTAGAAGTATTTAAATTAGCAGAAAAAGAAAAATATTATGATAGAAACATCAAGATGCTCATGTCATCCATGTAATGCACTTTCAAAACCTTTTACATCAAATAATGTCTTTTAGTTGAGAAATTCTTATAACACAAAACAAAATCGGCTTTCAAATTGGACTGACTAGCAGAAGATCTTATCAAATAATAATCCACACTTTAAACAAATGAGCAATAAAATTGAGTAACAAAAAACACATAAGCTTATTATTTTGCGCAGTACCAAAAAAACACTCAAAAACATCAAAACCATAATGAAATAACAAAGCTGAAGGAAAATTTATCAAAAAATACCTGAAAGATAATAGGAATGACAGGCCAAGCCGGTGATTTGTGATGACGGGCATATTGCTCGAAAGCAAACTGGACAACAAGACCCACAAGATACGGAGCGAGAGTAGCAGAAGCAGCAGGGCCAGTCCATGGCCAAACCATCCCCATGGTGAGGAGGGGAATGATCAAGCTCAGTGCTAATGTTGTTACAGAAGATATTTGAAGCCCAAACTGAATCTTTGACCAATTGTTATTATCGTCATCAACCATTTTGAGAGGTCTCCAGACATAATCTACGAGTAAAACAAATATTGCAACTCCTCCATAGAAAAGAGCCTCGGTGAAGAATAGGATGAGAAAATCTGCAAAAGAACAACTTGAAATTAGACGCAACAAATTTCAACCACACGAATGTCAAAGTATGGATTTTAAAGAAGCAATTTAACAATTACCCTGAGAAATGAGACGGGAATTAGGGGAGTACTTGGAGGAAAACAAAAATGATGAATGGTTCCGTACGGGTAAGTATTAATACTGGTAAGTTAGAG